TCATTTCAGTAAAGAATCAACACATTAGAATAGAATTTGATATGCATAAAGCAAACTTGACATTTCCAGGTCTGACTGGAAATACCCAGTTATACCAAACATAACCAGACTTGGAAGGTCATGAATAAATGCAAATGCTTTCAGTGAATATACAAAAAATATTGCTTATTAAATCTGCAAGAACTGCCTCGATTTCCATCTGAAGGGTGTAAAGATAAATGCATAAGAAACATGAATAGCATTTATTAGGCCATACATGCTCAGAAACACATATTGGTTGAAATTACAGTGGTGCCTCACTAGACAGTTACCCCATGTGATTGGGTTCTTTCTCTGTGGGGGACGGACCAAGGGATTCGGCGGGAATAAGCGCAGGAGTCGATGTAACGGTCAAAAACGGGTTTGTTTTATTAGCTTATTCATCAAGCAACTCTGGACCAAACGGGTCCGGCAACTCTTCATTCGTTAACAAGTTATATTTCTTGGGTTTTGCCCCAGGCATTACATCTTTGGTTTTCACTATTTCTTCCCCCCAAAACGAGCGATTGCGTTCGGGTTCGCGGCCGACGCAGTCAGAACTGAGCAGGAAGTCCTGCAGCAAGGATGGACCACTACCGATCCCTCCAGCCTGGGTAGGAAAGGGCTGGCCCCACCAAGGGTTTCTCTGTCCATCATTGGGCGAGAAGCCGAACCCACTCCCGGTCTCCATCCCCTTAAGAACTCACAAGCTTCGACTTTGCTTATTTCTTTCGGTAGAGGCAACAGACCATCTTCCTTCATTAAGTTCGGGAAATTCTTTACTAGTGTCGCAATCTTCTCTCTTTCTACTCCTGTCTCTCTTGTTTACGTACTCTTCTCTTCCTTTTCCCCCTCTGGCCCTTTCTCTCCCTTCTCTTCCTTTATAACCTCGTCCCATCTCCAGTCTCCTGACTCCTCCCCCCAGTCTTTTGTCCTCTCCGCTAGAAACACCTCTATCGCTCTATTAGTACCCCCCTCTTCATCATCCAGTTTGATTAATTCACCCACAGCGCATCCCTCACTTTCTTCTTCTTTAGATGTCTGTGAGGATGGCTCACTTTCCTTCCTTTGCTCACACCCCACATGACAGGTTTTTTTTGCTAGACATTGACTTTTTGTGATCGCTATAGCGATCTGCAGGACATGGTGGCGCTGCAGGGGACGTGGTGGCGCTGTGGGCTAAACCGCAGAAGCCTTTGTGTGCTGCAGGGTCAGAAGACCAGCAGTTGTAAGATCGAATCCACACGACGGAGTGAGCTCCTGTCGCTTTGTCCCAGCTCCTTGCCAACCTAGCAGTTCGAAAGCATGCAAATGCAAGTAGATAAATAGGTACCATCTCAGTGGGAAGGTAAACAGCATTCCGAATCTAAGTCGTGCTGGCCACGTGACAA